GCCTGATCCTCTTCAATCAGATCGACAAATGGATGGTACCACACAACTACAAGAAAGCCACCGTTGCTCGTCATAGTGCCAGACCCCGAGTAACTGTATTGTAGGGCAGTGCTGGGACACAAACAATACTGAGACCTGGGTTCAATCGCCCATTCGCCCGACATAAAGCCGAGCGATTCCAATTGTTCTCGTCAGTCGAGAGTACTCTCCGACGGCAAACGCTACAATGTTTTGTCATTCGCCGAATTGGCATCAACAGCAATTTACTCGCACTTGTTGAAAAATCGAAGGTACCAGAGGTCCAAAGGCTTTCGGGGCACTGGGAGCGGGTCATTGGTGAAGGAGGGATTTACTTAACTTGAAGCCAAAATATTACTTTTTATCTATTCTCCTCTTTGTTTATTCGAAAAAAAAACCGACGGCACTTTTGAATAGGATGACCTAATCCCGATTACTCGTTGAGCTTTGTCCAACTAGGGTCAATTGACGTACTTGGTGCTCCGATCGAATCAATTTTAGAAAGGTATTCCATGAGTAGAACTCACGATAAACAAATTTTGCTACCAGAACACCTCATCACGTTGTGGAAAAATTCCGGGAAAAACGACTACCTTCAAATTCTTCCTGTCGGCACGACCCGTGTTCACTGCCTAGAGTCTTGCTTGCTGCCGATCAAGGGGCATGTTAGACGGGATGAATTTGGCGCGCTACCAAACCCTTTCTACACCAGTTGTTGTGGCAGGCAAAAACGGCTTTGACGCGCCCAATTCATCCCGCCTGACGCAGCCTTCGTCCTCAGAGAGCCTGACTATACCTACAGGGTTTATCGGAGCAGGGCACATCACTGGGAGGATTTCAGTTGAGTCCGTACGACCCGCCCGCTCCTCCTCCGGCCCTCTGTTCCTCCTCAATCGAATCGAACAGTCGACTGGGGGGAAGGGGGAGGCGGTAAATAACACAAGTGAAACAGGAAAAGCCGCGAGACAATATGACCCCTCCCCCTTCTACAAATTCTTAGATTTTCCCCAACCTCCAGCCTGCTTTCCAAAACTCTCTGGAAACTTCCATGCTTTTGCCCAAAAATTTTCCTGTCGAGTGGGGGGGGGGAGATGCCATGAGATCTCCAACAGCGATGTGCCCTGTATCGGAGATTGGGTGGAGGTTTCTTCACGTAGATGAGATTTGGAACGGTAAACCCTATTCCCAATCAATGGTAGTTCCCCTTCGAAAAAAAAGGCACGATAAAGCTACGTAAACAGTAACGGCTCCACATCATGGTTCCTTGAGCACTACACCGTCTCTTTCTCTCAAAGAGGTGTAGATATACTGCAGTTCATTGCGGACGGTTGGGCGTGTTCGTGCGGCTGCGTTTGGCGCGGTGCCAAACTCGTTCTCCACGAGTTGTTCAAGCGAGCAAATGACAATACTGTATCATACCTTTCGTATTACTTGTTTTCTACTGCTTTTTGTCGCATGCCCGTTTCAACAAGAAGGCAGAGAACAGCTCAAAGAGGGTGACACACTCATACTGGCTGACACGCCCAACCGTCCGCAGCGAAGTAGTGTGTAGCTTGATTAAACGGCCAAGCCTGTTGAGCTGGTCCCATTTTTTTTTGTCCGCATGCTTACTTTTCGCAAGAGGAACCACTTTAAGGACACGTTCTGCCGCCGGGAAAAAGTTTCAGGAAACACGCCCCTCCCCCTTCTAATTTCGTCCACTGCTGACAGGGTACAGCATGGGGATGTGTCAAATGGCGGTGTGAGTACGACCCCCCCCTCGAAGAGGGTCCAGATACGACCCCCCCCCCTCCTGCTCTAACTGACAACCAGATGCATGTTCACCACAAATGGCTTCCTGAAATGGAATCTGGATTTTCGAAAGGCGCACTCTGCTCTAAAATCAGGCAATAAAAGGCTGTTTCAGCCTCATGCAATATGAGGCTGAACAACAGCCTCGCATTACCTACAATTTTGTCTTAGGATTCAAAATAAAACTCCTCGTTCGATAACTATGTATGACATGCAACTTGTAACAAGAAACACAATTGAAATAGCGGCTAATGGTGATCATTGATAGGCTGAATTGGTGAAAAAAATAGCCCCAAGGTGAGCGTGTCAGGGCCCAGATGTGCATTCAATGAATGGTGACGGGGAAATAATGAAAACATGCACGACACAACAAAGCGAAACATGGAAAATACAAAAAATGCAGAGCTAAATGAAAAAAGGATAACCAGGCCGGCAGTAAATCGTTCCATACTTGGCTATTATCGATCAGGCTGCAGGGCGCAAGGCTGCGACCGCTTTCTTTGGAAAAACGTCATTGGAGCGCGGTTGTTGGACTTGCCAACGTCCTGGGGTCTGTTCGGGGGGGGGGGTTATATCTTTTTTAGGTGCGGAGCTTTTGAGGAATGGTGAGCAGCATGCAACGGCAAGTTTCTACTATTGTGTATTCTACCTAGCTGCAAACTGAACAATCCCCGTTGGTGAAATATTCCGGATGGGTCACGGTTCGGCCAGGGGTAAATCGCGAGCTGGTTTCCATGATTCACACAAGGACTGCTTCGTTCAAACGCAATTTCATCAGGACTGAAGTCGTCTTGAAACCCCTCCATCTTTTCTCTTTCCAATAAGCTTTACAGTTTTTCTGAAGACCCACTAGTTCAGGAGATATTTTAGATGGGTCACAGATGCGCCACCCTCTGACCCACCCGAAAAATTGACTCCTTATGTGCCATTGTGAGGATACACCTTCGGAAACTCCAAAACACATATTTCCCTTCAAATGAGTGAAAGAGAAGCTCGGCTATCTCTGATCGATTTGGTCCGTGCGCCGTGCATTAGGCTCGTTAGGCGCATTAGGAGGTGGTGGAAAGGTGTAAATTCTGATTTCAGGTGCTTTTATCCATGTTTAGGGTTTGGAAAGGACAACACGCACGAATCTGTTTGAGACGTATTATTTAGTCATCTACGTACTTACGAGTTCATGCTATTAACTGACACTTATTTATTTATTTATTCTTGCTATATTGCTAATAAATCTTTTATTATTTTGTATTCCTATTTACATCCGGGTCTTCTGAAGCTTTCCGTCCGTTCCATTACCCTTAGCAATGACACCTTTGTACTGTTTGATGCCTAGCGAGCCTACTTTTGCGATACTCCCCACGTCCCCCGCGGCCAAGTACGAACCCATTCTTGGGGATTTCCCATGAAAAGAGGGCTGTTAAACGTAGCATTTAAAGCTGTAAAGAATACACTCATAATAAACTTCATTTTTTTAAACATCTTGACTTCCATAGCTCCACTCCCACTATCAACTGAAATGTCGAAGCATTGCTCGGCTCTGAGTGACCCTTGAGATTACGACCCCCCTCCCCAGCGGCCAAGTACGACCCCCCCCATGGGTTTCGCACAACGATGCTGTACCCTGACTGCTGAGCTTGAGCTAATCGATGGGCCGGCTCTAACGATCAAATGCTTCTCTCCCGAAAGTGGTTGAATTGGAGGTCAAATTTATCCAATGATCTGCGGAAGTCCGCGGTCGCTCAAGACACAATGTGAACGCGGTCTCAGCATTCACTCCACATGTCATTCCGAAAAAGAACCTGAGAGCCGCATCATCGCAGTAATTTATTAAACATTTACATTATTAAATATATCAATATGTACAACCTACTAGCCTTTTCAACATGAGACAAAAATTAATGAATGAACGATTAAATGAATGAGATTCGATTGATCAGATCAGGTCTTTAAAATGCATTGTTAGAGACGTTAGGGCATTGGCATGCATATACAAATCTTACTCAAAATAAATATTCTAAATAGAAATCCAGCGTTATTATCCATTTAGTGTGAGAGGCCGCTAGGCGGATACGAGCGCGTTCATACTTCGCGATCGCTGGACTAAGTCGTCAATCGGATCGCCAGATCACGCGATCGCGATGTGCGAACGTGCATGGAAAACCGTGGCTAAATGCACGAAATAGTGGCACAATCTAGAAAATAGTAGAGTACGAAAAACTGAAGAGAATTCAACGACAAAAGTTACGATCAACTATCTTCTTACAAGTTTTACATTTGACATCACAACACCAAATAAATCGACATTGGCAGGGCTCATCCACCACTTCTCTTACTGTGTGCCAGCCTGAAAAAAGGCATAAGACATAATTTTTTGGTTTTCGAGCTAAAATGGTATCAGGAGTGCTATATAGAGGGGAAAATGGCGAAGAAACGAAGTGAAAAGGTTGAGAACCTGCAAAAGAGCCTCTGTTCTACACCACTCAGAAATCAGTTTCGGACGAGATCCCCATAGCATCGGGCCAATAATCGCTACGGTAGGTAGGGCTGCACACATGTACTCATATATCCATGCACCGCAGCCGCTTCATATCAAACCTTTCACTTTACATTTCACTTGCATATGGAGCACTAGCATCACTCGGACATTTGTGGGCGGGCGGGAGCGAGGGCATCCGAGTCGGCATATTGCAACCTGATAGTGCGCTATGAGGGCACTTTCCCTGGCGTAACACAGCTTCTGCTGAAGGGCGTCGAGTTCAGTTCTGCTGGGCATCCTACACGTCTTGCGAACTTATCGTGCCACCTTCCCTAAGTGGTGGGGGCGGGAGGTACACAACGACCGCTGGGATAAGATATCAGTCGGTTCAAGCGCTAACTAAGAATCCCGCTGCTATATGAGACACCCAACTGGTACGTTTTGGACTTAGCACAATAGACCTACAGGTGAAAGCATTTGTAGTCAGCGTAGCATACGCAGTTGCTGAGGGAAAAACCAGTGAAGTATAGAATAGCAATGGCTGACCTCGACCGCAACAAATCTCGTCACAATTATTTCCACAATGACGACCCCGAGTATCGACTGAACAGTAGTCAGGTGAGGAGTCCAAGTAGACCAGGTCACCTTTTGCCGCCTAGATAACATTATTAAATCATCTTATGGAAATATGAGAAAAATGGATAAACTTTTCTGCTCACTTATGTTTATCACCCTTGTCCTTCAGATGACGCTCTGTTCGTTTTCCGTCCAACACTGCCCCGCGTACCATCAACGTAGTACCATGAGGGGCAACAGTGACCTGTTGTGCCATTTCATACTTGTGCATCAGCAGTTGTGAGAACTCGTCAAATCTAAATAACAGACATAGACGTGCACACAGATGGAGCTCAATAAAAAGCAAAAATAGAGCGCTGTTCGGCCTAGGAGGGGTATTTTGCACGCCAGTTTCTTTTGCTAGTCCTTGTAAAAATACGTTTCACTCTGGTGAGACCTGTAGACTCCTGTCAAATAAAGACAGCTTATGTATGCTACTGCATGGTTATTTTTCGACAAATCTCCGAAGGAATCGGTAGGTATCTATGTGTGGAAACCCCCCACCCCGCCGAACTGCGCCAAAATTGATGTGATGTACTTAGAGGAGCTCAGTGACTGTATCGTGGGCGGATATGGACACCAGTTAACCCATACTTGGTATGCATTCCCTCTTTAGCATTCTAGGAGCGTAAAAATGAGGATGAAACGAAGGTTGTACGTCTGCCTCCACACAATAGAAATGAACTGTGCCTCGACATCATATGGTTGGCTTCGACCATTCTGCTAGATTCGCCATGGAATCAGCTCGAAGAAGGTAAAAGGAAGTACGCATGTTGGACATTGCGATGATTGCAGGGTGAAGATATTCATAACATTCCAACGATCCCTCAGTGAAGAAAGTTAATTTGGTTGGCCTGGGTGAAAGGTGGACCAGAAATTGATCCCCGGACCGCTTGCATGGTAATGCTTCCACATATTGTTGTACGGATAAGACAACCGTAAGGGGCGCGCTCGACAGAAGAGTTGTTCAGCGCCATCATTCAAATATGAGGGTTAGGAAAACCGGATATCGCCCTTCATGGAATCTGTTTTGGCCTGAATTTATATGAGTTTCGCATCTACAATCGGCAGATTGCTGCACATCGAGAATTTGGCATCACACGGCATGTCCGCATCACACGCCGTGCGCGACGTCGCAACAAAATACAGATTTGTTCGTCCTCCACATAAAGCAGTACACCACCTGCTTGAATGGTTCTTTGGCTTACCTTCGAATCTTGCTAGCTACGTATGCTGGGGCGTGTCAGGGGAACTTGGGTCGATCGCAGAGCCAGCCATTCTCTACCAGTTGTGGAAGCTGGCATGCGACCTTAATTGGTGGAAAAGTGATCAAACTCCAGACGCACCCTACCGTCCCCAACAAAGGAGATTTCGATTCGGGCGTTCGAAGTACTAGGTTTTACTGATTGGGTGGGCAAAGTTCAATACTTCGACTACTGCGTTGAGGGATCGATAATGAGGCAGCGGTTGGAGATGGAGGGGGCGTGATATACCACAAAGTCTCTACATCATCATAGAGTGGTTCGATTTCCATGAATCGGAGTCTTCACAAGTCTTTTTACAGGTGACTGCACAGAATCATTTGCATTTAGCTCTACTTATAATTAGCCCATGAACTACTAAAAAATTACCCACTCTATAGTCAGTCTCCAAAAAAAGGAGGCTACTGGTTAGTTTCAGCCCTTATTTTTGAGAAAGCACCAATCGAAACCCACCTGGGCACCACTTTCCAGCAAGTCTTCGTCACACAGCTGCCACTTACGCCATGGCATTTACACTCTTTTCCCATTCGGCTGGCAAGAAGACGGCGTCCTACTCGATTATTGTGCAGATTCATCAGAGCCCTGTAGATGAGGATACAGTGTAAAATGATGAATATATCGTAATTATGAAATATAATAGGGCCCTAATAACCTTGGAGGGGGGTACACCTATGAGAGCTTGTCAGCGTCCCCTCTCTGTACTGCATATATGTGAATACAGGACAACCTCGGCAACACCCTGTAAGCCTTGTTATAATCCTGTCATGGCCCCTGTAAACTCCTGTCAAACTCGTCAAAAGACTATTTTAGGTTTCAAAGGAAAAAAATGGAAAAACGGCGTTCCTTTGACGCTGCCACTTCGCCAAGGTTCACAGTTCGCAGGGTTCCTGATATGAGTTTCCAGGATTTGCAGTGTGAGACGCGATTAGGAAAAGACAAACGAAAAATAGATAGACACACAATGGAAGAGCATAGAGATGTAGCCACCCTTAAGGGGGAAGCGGACAAGACAATCGTAATTTGTCGGGTCGTCGTCCTCGACATATCGTGCGGCGATACGCGGCGAGCCCCTGGCGTCCTTCAGCTTGCCTAGTTGAACTAGTGTATGAATTCAAACGGAGGCAGCGCTCCATGACAGGCAAGTAATTATTTTTCTGTCCCGTCCCTTCAACAAACAAATTCAAGTGACTAGGCAGGACAACTCGTCCGTCAAGCGAGGCCACGCCCACCAACACGACAAATAGTATTACGATTGCCATGCCACATATCATTCTCCCCTAGGTTATAAGCGCCCATAATAGTTTAAAGTGTATATCTAACCTGGCATCACTGTGAACCTTATCCGTGACGTCTATGAACTTTCTTCCAAAAGAGTTTCCGTATCGCACATTGTCCGAACACCCAGCCCAGACGAATTTGTTCGACAACGACGATGGTATTGGTCCACATCCACAATCATCAATGAGACCCTTAACGGACAAAAGAATAAGAAATTAAGCTTCTGTCAATTTGGATGCGCTATATTACCACTCAAAATTGTAATGGCTTTTGAATATACTTGGTTTGACTTATCCAGTGACTTGCATGGGTCAACCGTACAGGGCAGTATTTTCACTCTGGCACACGAATTTACCAGCCCTGAGGGAGGGGGAGAGGGGTAGAAGGTCTAAACCGTCTGAGTGGGAGTCCATCTGGGACTTTATCTTTGAGCGCACCCTTAAATTCTGCGTTCTTACTTGGCGTCAGCTTCCACCGCAGGCGTACAGCCACGATTTCGCTGA